CACTTACATTAAAACTCTAACACTCCCACGTTCCCTCAAACAAAAAAATAACTTCCACTTACATTAAAACTCTTCCCACTTACAATATAGTTGGTACTTGGCCCCTGATCCAACGGAATTGAGGATTGCACCTGATTTCTTCCCAACTGCCACGGAATATACTTGGTACTACTTTTGGGAATTACTACTTTTGGGAATTACTCTTACAATTTCACTCCACACCCACATTTCCATTTCAATTAAAAACCCTTTCAATCAACTTCCTTCTCGAACCTCTCTAATTAGCTTCACAATAGAACATGGCCGTTTACAGGCATGTCATCAACACCTGAATTTCAAACTCGCAAGATTGCAACGGAGGAAACATCTGCTAATGAAACGAAAAGGACGCCACCACGGTCCCGCACAAGAATTGGAACAGTTCCAACAACTTTGCGCCGAGAAAAGAGAAATCTCACATCAACTACGATGGATAAAATCTCGACTACATCAACTCAAACGCCGCGCCAATCAAATTAAAAGTTTCGGTACTATTTATTCATTTAATATTGATATTCTTTTAATATTGAAAACCTGATCATATCATGAGTTGTGCTCATGATGTGACTTATGTAGTCTTTACCCCAAACTCTTAATATGGTAACATATTGTAGTACCATCAATTTTGATCACGAAAAATAATACTACTATTAATTATGAGTTGTGATCTGTGGAGTTTCTTCGTTACTTTGAAATAAGATGTTCAGAAGGTTGACATTAAGAGATTACTACTAGCGGGTAGGTTCGTTTTTTGTGTTTTGGGTTTTTTTTTTTTGGCAGATTTTGTGTCTTACTGCATTACATGTCCTTGGGCTGTTCAAATCGGGATTATGCTGTAATTTTGCGGTGAAAAAGTTGGAATCGTGCAAGACAAAAATGTTGACGCTTGAGAGAAATAGCAAAAAAAAAAGGGAAATAGATTCAAAAAATAGATCTTGCAAAAACATATGGGACAATGGCACCTAAGATCGATGGCTATAGATGCTTTAGCAATATAGATGACCTCTGTCCTGGTGTAGTGTACCAGGGGGTGAGACTTTTAGGGGACTAGAAAGTAGGTGGTGGGAATCACGAAGATTCTGTTTTAGTGCCAAAAATGAACTCAGAATCACATCAGTTTTTGTGGTATGGTTTGCTCATTCACTATTATAATTGTCTGTGAATGCAATTTCTGGCTTCTGATTTCAATTATTCCAATATTATAATTTCAATTAAATAATTAAAATAATTCGACTATCATGTTGACTACTGATGTTAATTTAATTTAAATTACTTTAAAGATCCTTGCTTTTGAGGTAATGTTCAATGGCTGATTTGGAAGTATATGGCCACAATGGATGTGTATATAAAGTTTGTTTATCTTATTCAGCTTATGGTGTGAATGATGATCTGATTGTGCGAGTCCAGTGGACAGGAAACTCTTTTCGTATATATAAACTTTGGCTGAAGGGATGATCAACTGTTGGTTATGTTCTGTTCTGTTACCTATCAGGGTTATATGGTTATATAGTTAACTTCGAAATATATACCAACATTGGCTGAAGGAATAATTAGCTAGAAATTTGTAACTTAATTTAATACGTATTTTAATACAATTATAATTTCAATTATTACTAATATTTCCAATATTATAATATGATTGTTGTTCCTATTGTTTATAAGTTTTGGTACTATTTATTCTTTAAACATTTATGATTTTCATTGTAGTTACCATTATTAACAATATTCCCCATATTATATATTATTACTGTTTCCATTATTTATATTCCTTTAGACGTTCAGTTGCAGCGAAAGGGCGTAAAGTTGGGGTCGAGGTGTTCTTGCTGCGAAGGGGCGAGCGAAACTGCGGAGCATCTTTTTGTGATCGGTCCAGTGGCAGCTACCGTTTGGGGTCACTTTGGTCAACAGTTCGGGCTGTTGCGGGGGGGGGGGAAGAGGGGATATCCTCTGTACTGATGTCGTGGTTTCTGTCCCACCCGATGGTGAGCGAGAACCATGTTCGGGTATTAGTTCCGGTTGCGTCCCTGTGGTTTATTTGGAAGGCGAGGAACCACGCTAGGTTTGAGGGGGGGAGGATGAATGCGGACCAGGTTATATGGCAAGTGGGCAATTTCATTGAACTCCTAGGGCGTGCACGGAATTTGGGGCAGTCATTTCGGGGCGACGGGGACTGTATTTGGGCTAGAGGGACTCATGGAACGGGGGCGGTGAAGCGGCCACTCCTTGTAGCATGGGCCAAGCCCCCCATGCCGTATCTGAAATTGAATACAGCTGCCAGTGTCGGAACATCCGGGGCATTCGGTGGCGGCGTGGTCCGGTCGAGCGAGGGCACGGTGATCTTTGCATTTTACAAGGAGTTTGGGGAGGTTGGAGTGGTTCACGCAGATGCCCTGGCATTGATGACTGGGTTAGACCTATGTCGAGACAGCCAATTGACTGGCATTATGGTTGAGAGCGGCTCTGGGGCGCTCGTCCAGATGGTCAATTCGGGAGCTTTGGCACGCTGGCCGGTATGTAACGTTCTGAGGAAGATACGAGGCTTAATGACAGAATTGGGGGCGTCTCTTTGCCACGTCTATCGGCAAGCTAATATGGTGGCAGATTCTCTAGCGTCTTTGCAGCTGGGCCAAGATTTGGTGTACACCGAGGAAGAGTTACTTCCACATAGGAGTCGGCGTATTCTACGTTCAGATAGCCTTGGGATTCCTTATGTTATAGCTTAATTTGCCCGGGACTGGGTTTTGTATGCTTCCGCACGGTTCAAGTTGAATAAAACCTACTTTTTACAAAAAAAGAAAAAAAGAAAAAAAGAATCAATTTAGAAATTTCATTTTAATTAAAATTATTAATAAAATTTCCTAACAATATTCCCCATATTATAATATTCTTACTGTTGTCATTGTTTATAAGAATCAATTTAGATTATTAATAAAATTTCCTATATTATAATATTATTACTGGAGTAGGATTGAGCCAGTAAAGTATACTTGAGCCAATTGGCAGATTAAGAGAACTACCAATTGGCAGTACCCCGTTTGTGCCTGGAGCAAGAAAGGACGCTTCACCATGTAATAAAGAGTCAATATTACTTGAAAACTTAAAAGCTGGGAATTCGGTTGACAGTCATGCAACTATGTCCAAGTTTCATTAGTAATCTACAATGTACAGTTCAGGGCTACGTATGATTATGATTGCATGTCTCTATTTGGCCCGTGGCTGTGATCGACGCTGGGTTAGTGCCATTTCCTGTCTTCTTGCCTTCATTTTCGTCAAGTGGCCTGTGGCAAGCACCAACTCATGCCGTGTCTAAACTCTCTCCGGATAAAATCTTACATATATATATATATATATATTTTTTTTTTAAAAAAAATTTCGAACTCTGGAAAAAATCCTATATTTGTTAAGCATCAAATAAAATGAATCCCCCAACATACTCGAACCTTAGTTATATATTTAGTCGCAAAATTGTCTCAACAGCTTGTGTGTGTGTTGTAGTCGATGGATCCTAGGAATGAGGTTCTAAAAAAAATTAAAATTCATGTCACATCTTGATTGTGCTATGCATGGGCACAAACCAGAATTAGATGGTTTCCATTGTTTATAAGAATCAAGTTAGAAGTTTCGCCACTATTTATTCTTTAAATATTGGTATTTTCATTATACTTACAATTATTAATAATATTTCTAATATTATAATATTATTATTGTTTTCATTGTTTATAAGAATCAAGCTTGTATTATCTATTCTTTATATATTGCCATTTTCATTATAATTGCAATTATTAATAATATTCCCAATATTATAATATTATTGCTGTTTCCATTGTTTATAAGAATCAAGCTAGAAGTTATGGTACTTATTCTTTAAATATTGGTGTTTCCATTGTTATTTCAATTATTAATAATATTCCCAATATTATATTATTATTGTTGTTTTCATTGTTTATAAGAATCAAGTTAGAAATTTAGGTATTATGTATTCTTTAAAATTTGGGAATATTATTGGGATTATTATTGTACTTCTAAGTATTAATAATATTCCGAATATTATAATATTATTGTTGTTTTCATTGTTTATAAGAATGTGGAAATAGTACCAATTGTTTATAAGCACTTTAATAAATGCCACCGAAAGCTCCCCAATGGCTTTGTTAATATGTTACATGTTAACAAATAGTACTAAAACCTATTATTGCATATGCAGTGGTCAATCATAATGAATAGGATCACTACAATCTTATCTAATATCAAAGGTTCACATAAATATATTGTCATTTTTACTACCAAAATTGACAATTTGTTTGAGGCAATAATTAACATAATAAAAAATATATTTTATTATTCTAAATGTTTAATTACATATCATAAAAAATATAGTGACTCAAAACTCATATGGTCGAAATCATGCTTCACATTTCACATCGAGTTCACCCACTAAATAATGTCTCAAACATAAAATATTACCAACTACTATCAGAAACATTACCAAATTAAGGATGGATTTTCTCAAATCTTACTATTAAATACACATATTACCATTCATTAATTAAAAAATATTTTTTCAAACTAAAATACTTCTTTGCGATTTTTCTAATCTTTGCACACAACGTAATTTGTGTTAACAAATATTGTTATGTTTATCAGATCTTGCTAAAGTTTTACATCAGACCACTCATGCTCATTCATAATATTCATATAATATATTATATTATTACATTTTTATGAGTTTTACATTAATAATTGTAACTTAATTTAATACGTCTTTTAATACAATTATTTTAATATACTTTTAGATCAAACAAATGATTATTCAACATCTTTTCAACTTCAACATCCATCGACCGCAGCCCCAATTCTCCATGATCATGGTAACTCCAAATTTATGCACAATTTAAAATTCATGCTTAATCATTAATTTTTTTAACGTGCTACATTATTATATTAACTTTCTATATTACATAATGATAGATGACTTGCATAATGACTCACCAACTACTGAAGTTCCTATTACACCAACATCATCAGCTAATGGTCCTGATGATAGTAAGTCCAAGTTTTCTCATGTATCTTGACTAAGTAATCAATTATTATTTATGCAATTCAATTTCTTCCAATTCATTTTTTCCATTTGTCTTCTAAAAAACCATTATACAAACAGGCTCACCTGAAGAATTTGTTCCTGCTACACAAGACATTGTGCCTATTAACGCAGCTGGAGCAGAACAAATCGGTAATCTACTAATATTTTTCTCATGTAACCATAATTAATATTTCTTGCTATATGTTCTTGGGCATACAATTATTATGTGCTTTATACTTTTCTCAATTTTTCATAATTAATACCATAATTAATATTTCTTGCTACATGTTCTTGGGCATACAAATATTATGTGCTTTATACTTTTCTCAATTTTCCATAATTCATATTTCTTGCTATATGTTATTGGGCATACAAATATCATGTGCTTTATACTTTTCTCAATTTTTCATAATTAATATTTCTTGCTGTATGTTCTTGGGCATACAATTATTATGTGCTTTATACTTTTCTCATGTTACCATAATTAATACCATAATTAATATTTCTTGCTACATGTTCTTGGGCATACAAATATTATGTGCTTTATACTTTTCTCAATTTTTCATAATTCATATTTCTTGCTATATGTTCTTGGGCATACAAATATCATGTGCATTCAATTTTTCATAATTAATATTTCTTGCTATATGTTCTTGGGCAAACAAATATTATGTGCTTTATACCTTACATATAGTGACAGTTTTAGGTATGTACCTTATTATACTTATTTCATCAATCAATTAGATCAAATAGGCCGAAGGCGACGACGACGTCGAATTACAAGAAGATGGACATTTGGTCCAGGAACAGTAATCTGTCAGAAATGTCAATCTCTAATGTGGGTGGAAGAAAGAATTCAAAGTAGTACAAAACAAAATCCAAGATTCAATTTATGTTGTCAAGATGGCGATGTTGTTTTGCCGTTATTGCCTCAAACTCCCCAAGTTTTACAACATGTATTTACCACTCCAACACTGAAAGAGAAGATTCGATTGCTAAATGCACTATTCGGGTTTACATCCATGGGAGGCAAAGTAGATCATTCTATAGTCAATTCTGCCGGACCATATTCATTTCGAATTAGTGGAGAAAATTATCATCTAATCGGATCGCTTTTGCCACCTTTTGGAGCATTAGGTAAATTCATACAATTATACATCCATGACACTGATAATGAGTTGCAAAATCGTATGAATCTTCTGAACAGTCATGATGGCAATCCAATTGGAATTGATGCATCAATAGTTGAAGGATTGAAAAATATGCTAGACGAAATAAATCCATACGTACAAGTTTTTCGAAGTGCAAGAGACATGCTTCGAAATCAAAATGTTGCCAATCTGCAAGTACAAATAATTAGTGCTCGAGGTGACAGACAATATATCCAACCAACTGCAAATAAAGTTGCTGCTTTGATTGTCGGTGAAGATACTGGTCATGTCACACACCGCGATATTGTGCTTGTCACTCGAGATGGAAATTTGAAAAGAATCAGTGAGACACATCCATCATACATGCCACTTCAATACCCTTTACTATTTCCATATGGAACAGACGGATGGCATTGCACAATAAGATTTTCACCCTCTGCCATTAGGAAGAGAGAATTTGTGTCGATGCGTGAATTCTATGCGTATCGTATACAATTTCGACAAAATGAAGGCCACACACTTTTGAAAGGTGCCAAACTATTTCAACAATTCATTGTTGATTGTTATGCAGCTATTGAGCACTACAGATTGAATTTTATGAAAAGCCATCAATCTCTATTATGTGCTGATGTATATCAAGGTTTAGCAGATGCTGTACTTGCTGGAGATACAGATGCATCAGCTGTTGGAAGGAGATTTGTTCTACCATCTTCGTTTTCGGGTGGATCCCGAAATATGATACAACATTTTCAGGACGCAATGGCAATCTGTAGGACAATTGGAAATCCAGATCTTTTCATTACGTTTACTTGCAATCCCAGTTGACCAAAAATTAAACAAGAGTTGACAAGAATATCGGGACAGAAAGTTGAGGACAGACCCGATATTACGGCTCGAGTTTTTCGGATAAGACAAAAAAAGTTGATGGATGTTTTAAAAAATACTCAACTATTTGGAAAAGTGCTTGCAGGTAAAAATTTTACTTTATTCAAATCATTATTTTCTTTTTTGATTCCCTATTCTGCCACACACTAAGATTACTTCCATAATATGCAGACATCTCTGTCATTGAATTCCAAAAACGTGGTTTACCACATACTCATATCACTCTGACATTAGCTCCGGAAGATAAGCCCCTTACTACAGAGCATATTGATGAAATCATTTGTGCCGAAATACCTGACAAAAATGCTGATCCACTAGCTTATGATACGGTCATCAGGTGCATGTTACACGGACCCTGTGGTAATGCTTATCCAAATGCTCCGTGTATGGTGAACGGAAAGTGCTCTAAACACTATCCAAAGAGATTTTGTAGTGAAACCACTATCGATGAAGATGGATTTGTATCATACAAACGTAGAGATGATCCAAGTAAGAGGGTAACTATTAATGGTTTTACATTTGACAACAGATGGGTTGTTTCTTACAATCGAGATTTGATTGTGATATTTGATGGTCATATTAATGTGACCAAAGTTGCACGTCCAGAAATCACTAAATATCTGTACAAGTACATGAGTAAGGGGGTTGATAGAGCAAATGTTCAGATTGAGAATAACGTTGTACTTGCAAATGAAAGTGGTCATCGTCGTTAGAGAAGCGTTGATGAGATTAAACAGTACTTAGATTGTCGATATTTATCGCTAATTGAGTCATGGTGGAAGATATTTGATTTCGAAATGCAGAGGCAGTATCCATCCGTGATTAGATTGCAGTATCATCTTCCTGATCATCAATTTGTGATATTTAATGATGATAATCATCTTTATGACGTTCTTGATCATGATCACATACATGACACGATGCTGACGAAATGGTTTGAAATAAATCAGAGCCATGTTCCAGCTAGAAACTTGACGTTTGTGGAGTTTCCGAGTAAGTGGACTTGGAAGCAAAATAAACGTCAATGGGAGTCCAGATTGCAAGGTAGGTGTATCGGAAGGCTACCATATGCACATCCTCATTCCGGTGAGCGATACTATTTGAGAATGTTACTGAATAAAATTCGTGGTGCATAAAGTTTTGAACATTTGAGAACTATTGATGGAGTTGTGCATCCAACATTCAAAGCTGCATGTGCAGCACTTGGTCTTCTGGATGATGATAATGAGTGGAATGAAGCTTTGGCTGAAGCATCTACATGGGCATCTGCCAGAAAATTACGCAGCATGTATTGTACAATACTTATGCATTCTGAGGTAACTAACCCTTATGCTATATGGCAGCGTCACTGGAAAAGTATGACAGATGATTTGCAATATCAGATCAGAAGGGATATGGGAAACTCTCAGATACGCATAGATGATGGTGAGTTACAAAATTTGGGATTAATTGAACTCGAACTCATTTTGAACAAAAATGGTCGATCTTTACGAGATTTTCCTCCAATGCCATTGCCGTCATTTGAAAATGCTCAGTTTTCCATGAACAGACTTATAAGAGAAGAGCTCGATTACGATTTTACATCGGAGCAGCAATTATTTGATAATTTATATGCTGGTTTGAATGAGGATCAATTGAAAGCATATGAGCTTATTATGGAATCATACACACATAATCACGGAGGACTATTTTTTGTGTATGGAAGTGGTGGAACGGGTAAAACTTATTTATGGAGAACATTGATTGCTCGAGTCAGATCGCAGAGAAAAATTGTTCTTTCAGTTGCATCATCAGGCATTGCTGCAATACTCTTACCGGGTGGAAGAACAGCGCATTCACGTTTCAAAATTCCTATTAATTTGGATGAGTCATCAAGTTGTTCAATCAATACAAATTCTGACTTGGCTAAATTAATTAGGGAGACATCTTTGATAATTTGGGACGAAACTCCAATGGCACATCGGCATGATTTTGAAGCGGTGGATAGAACTTTAAAGGATATCTTAAAGTTGAGTGAAAATGCTTCTGAGGATCGTATTTTCGGAGGAAAATTGGTTGTTTTGGGCGGTGATTTTCGACAAATATTACCGATTGTTTCTAAAGGTAGGAGAGAAGCAACAGTATCAGCTACAATAAAAGAGTCAATGATTTGGGATCACTGTAGAGTTCTGCATCTTAAAATAAATATGCGTGTAATGAATTTACGTCTTCCTGAAAATACGCGTCAGCAATTGATGGATTTTGCAAATTGGCTGCTGTCTGTTGGTGAAGGAAAGGTTTCAGCAATTTCACTTAAGAACTTGATTCAGCTTGGTCAATGGTAACTGCATTAGCAAACCGAGGTGGTTTTCCATGTAAATCCCAACAAGTATCATGAGTGTGATTCTTCAAACCACAATGAGTACACTCACGGGTGCCTCGACCTCCATGACCCCCACGACCTCCTCTACTTCTTCCTCCACGAGAGCCACGTCCCAAGTTAAGTTGCTCTATCCGACCATTGTTAGCAACTAAAGCAGATTTGTCATTAATTAGAGCACCATCACCCTGTGCAGTGTCCTTAGATGCAGAACGTAAGACCCGAGCATACGCCTCTGTAAAGGATGGTAATTGTTCACCTGCTAAAATTTGAGATTTGATTGGTTCAAATTCTGGCTTGAGACCGGCCAAGAATTTGAGCACAAGCATTTGTTCTCTTTGCCTCTGCATAACTGTAATATCACTTGAGAGAGGCATTACGGCATTTAATTCTTCTGATACTCGCTTAAGATCAGCAAAGTATTCAGTTACTGTTTTGTTATCTTGTTGCAACTGAAAATACTCCAAAGAAATATCATACATCCGTGAAAGATTACTACAGTATAATAACCGGACATAATCCCAAACTTCTTTTGTTGTCTCACAATGAGAACACATGTAGGCAATTCGTGGCTCCATAGAATTCCATATTGCTCCAAGAATTTGGGCATCCTCTTGAATCCACATTAGTTTCTTGTTGTCCTCCGTAGGAGAGTCATCTGTGAGATATCGTTCCTTTCCTAAGCCTGTCAGATAAATCTTAACGGCTTTTGACCACTGTTGATAATTAGTGTCATTCAACTTCCAATTTGTGATTTGAGACATCACCATTGGCATAATATTAGTAGACGTCACAATACCTTTTGATAGACTTTCAGACATAGCGAATAGCACTCCAAACCAAATGAAGGGTCAAAACTCGAGATGAACAGTGCGTGAACAGTGAACAGTGCCGCGTGAACAGTGCCGTGAACAGCGAACAGCGCTGCGTGAACAGTACCGATGAACAGTGAACAGCCCCCCCGCGTGAACAGTCGCGATGAACAGTATCGCGTGAACAGTCGCGATGGCCAAAACTTTTGCTAGATGTTTAACCCTAACCCTAGGACTTTTGCTCTGATACCATTGACAAAGCTGAATCAAGTTCTTCAACACGAGGACTTCCCAGGGGGTCACCCATCCTAGTAATACTCTCGCCCAAGCACGCTTAACTTCGGAGTTCTGATGGGATCCGGTGCATTAGTGCTGGTATGATCGCACCCTTTTTGCGCTCGTGTGTATCCTAAAAAAATACACTTAATAGCACGAGAATCTAATTTATCCACTCCGGGAGCAAGATGATGAACAAAGCACACACATCCAAAAATACGAGAAGGCAATTTAAACACAGATTCATGACGAAAAAGAATGGAGTGAGGTAATTGGCCTTCAAAAATATTGGATGGCATGCGATTAATTAAATAACATGCAGTTAGAACTGCATCACTCCAAAATTGTTTGGGCACATTCATGTGCAACAAAAGTGTCCGAGCAACTTCAATTAAATGTCCAATTTTTCTTTCGGCAACTCCATTCTGTTGTGGAGTGTGAGGACAAGAGGATTGATGAAGGATACCGGACTTAGTCATAAAGATATCAAAAGGAGTGGAAAAATATTCTTTCGCATTATCACTGCGAAGTATACGTACAGGCACACCAAATTGATTCTTTATTTCTGTAACAAATGCACAAAAAATGGAATATAATTCTGAACGATTTTTCATTAAATAAAGCCATGTAACTCTGGAAAAATCATCAACAAAGATTACAAAATATTTAAAAGGATACGAAGATAGTGCACGGTGAACAATATCGGATCTCTTTAACACCACAGAGTACACAGACTCATTTTCCAATTAAAAGGAGACAATTTCCTGTGAAATTGGCATTTGCAATGACTATCAACAAAAGTCAAGGCCAAACCTTGAAAAATGTTGGCGTTTACCTTCCTGAACCTGTGTTTTCACATGGTCAACTTTATGTTGCTCTGTCCCGTGCTACTTCGCCAGATGGATTGAAAATACTCATTGTTAATAGAGATGATGATCCATGGGATTACACAAAAAATATTGTGTATCGTGAGATTTTTGACTCCCTTTGATAAATTCTGGACATCGCTTTGTTTACAAAAATAGTATATTTACATCAGACCATATGTACTATATATGCTTCATACTTTGGCATTTTATTGGTATTTCTTTGAATTTGTGTTACTTGCTGTATCAAATATAGCGCTTAAATAATTAACCTTCATGCTATATTATAATAATTTACAGATATTCGATATACACCTTTACTCTATCTGGATCCTTGCGGATACGGATGGAATGTAAAGGTTAGATTGTTTCGATTAATAGATATGACCATATATGGAGTGCTTTAACGTTCGGGATGTATCAAGATGCTTTTTATAGATGATCAGGTAATAATTAAGAGTGTATGTTAATTATTATATTGAATATTGAATATTTACTAATCTGTTGAAAACTATCAGAAATTTGTCATGCAAGGAGTTATAAGAGGCAGTAATATGATAAACATTTTCGCAGATCATCTCCATGAAGGCAAGGTATACTGGTTTCAAAATATATATGTAATTCCTGCAGATCTTCAATATCGGCTTGCACCACATCAGTACCAATTATCGTTTGGAAACGATACGAAGATAGTGAATATTTTAGATGATTGTGGAACCAAACCCCGTTTCAAGTTTAATCTGGTCAAACTAAGAGATACAGAATAGCACATGGACAATGATGTGCAATTGATAGGTATTTCATTCATAATTAGCCATACTTCTGTTTAAGTTGTATATTTGAACTGGTATTACTTCTATTTTTTGATCTTTTGCAGATGTAGTTGGTTTAGTTGTATCCGTTGGTTCACACTATCAAACGTCTATCAATGACAAAACTAAGTGTGACATACTTTTAGTTGACAAAAGGTTAGTTACTAGATTTAATATCTTTAAAATATTTTATATTCTACAAATTTTGATAAAATACTTACCAAAATTGTCTAAATGAAGTTTGACAGTAGTTCGGTTGACTTTGTGTGATAAATTTGCAACTGATGATGGTGAACACTTGCGTCAAACTGTTACAAAAAATAATGTTTTGCTAGCCTGTGGTATTTGTGTGAGAAATTATAAAGGTAATTCAATTTATTTTCACTTTATTTTATTCAAATTTTATACTTTATCAATAAATAAATCATATTGTGCAGGACCGTCACTCTATACTATTCGAGCAAGCAAATTGTATATCAATCACTACTTGGATTTTGCTCAATACCTACACAGTTGGTAAGTTTTACAAATACCAAAATATTAAATTACTAAAAATATTTCATACCCTTACGAATATGTATTTGAAAA